GGCAGTGACTCCGCCCCCAGCAGGAGGAGGGCAGTGCCCAGCCCCACGGAGGCAGCGTGCGCGGACCAGACCGCCAGGGGACGTCGCGGCTGCGGTGCGCTGCCCTGCTCGCCTGTGTCCACGCCCCGCGGGACTTCCGGCCAGGGGGACGACGGCTTCGAGGGGTGGGGTGGCCGGGTGCCCGTGATGTTGGGGCGGGGCTGTCAGCGAGGACGGGTGGAGAGCCCTGGCCTGGGGTGCCTCGTACTGTAGCTGCGGTCCTGCGCTGTCCTGGCGTGACCTTGACGGAGGGGGCCCGAGCTGACCTCTAAGGCCCTCCTGGCTCCTTAGGGAGGAGGACAGGCTCCACCTGGCTTTCTTAGCGTCCCTCCATACCAACGTGAGTCTTGGGATTTCAAGGACTTAGCTGAGGCCAGCTGGAGGTGTGGAGGTTGAGGCCGCGCAATTCCACGTGGTCCCCGGAAGGGTTCAAGTCCTGCCCAACTGCTGGAAAAACACGCTGGCCTCCCCTGGGGTTGCTTTCTGTCTCCCTCTGGAGAACATACGCAGAGCAGAGCAAGTTAAAAACAAGTTTTTAGGGAGCTGGCACTGTGGCAGGTAAGGCACTAGACTCCCAAAGAGGTGACCTGTGGTCGAGTCCTGGACATGGCACTTCCTTTCTCACTTTCTCTCACTCTGATAAATTTAAAAAAAAAAAAAAAAAGAATAAATTTAAATAAATAAGTCTTTTAAAAATTTTTTAAAGATAGCTGAGCACTTGGGGAAGTACCTCTGGAGTGTGGGCTTCCGGGTAAAGTTCCCATGGTCCGTAGGGCAGCGTGCTCCCGAAGTGTGGTCCCTGGAACCTTTTTAGAAATTCTGTGAGGTCAACACCATTTTCATAATAAATCTAAGACATTTTTTGCTCTTGTCACCCTCATTTTCTTCCAAGTGTAGAATGGAGATTTCCAAAAGTTACACGTGTGGTTTTGCAACAGGTTGAATAAAGAAGCAGTCTTCCATTAAGCCGAGCCTTAAAGACATCTGCAAACTTGGGCTGGGCTGTGGCCTGGTGGTTAAGGTCAAATCCCACCTGGCTGACTGTGGTCCAGTCCAGCGTCAGAGGCTTGGGAAACGCTCTGGGCATGTGTGTGCGTGCCCACGATCCTAAAAGAAACGGAGAAAGGGTTACGGCCTGACCACAATGGGGGGCTTTCTCCCTCTCCTTCTTTCTTCTTTCTATCTCTCCCCGGGAAGTGTGCATGCAAAAACAAACAACGGGGCCAGCAGGTGGCTTGGTGGTTAAGGTCCTAGATTCCCACATGGCTGACATGGTTCGAGGCCTGGACCCGCCGGCGGCTTGTAAACAGGCCGGACATGAGTGTGTCTGTGCCCAAAATCCTGAGAGGAGAAGGGATTGTGGTGTGGCCATCCCCTGTGGGGGCTGATTTATCACTTTCCCTCTCTCTGTCTCTCTCTGGTGAGCACACACGCTTTATGGCAAAAACCTAAAAAACAAAAACAAACAAAAACACAATGGTAAGAGTTCTTCGGTCCACCCTGGAGACCATGGGAACAGGTTTTCAGGTGTCCACTCCATTAACCTTGCAGCCTGAGGCAGAGCTACTCGAGAGAAGGCAGGGCTGAGAGGCTCTGTCTTTGAGGGAACCTTCTGCACTGTTTGTACAGCGTCCTCTGCACTTGACCTCTGGACTTGGGCAGGCAGAACAAAGCCAGGCCCCCACACTGGTAAGCAAATGGAAGAAAGGTCAAGTCAATTAGATTCGATTGGCACCCCTGGATTGCATTTCTAGGGCTAAATTCTGGGCTAGTTCCAGAGACGCTGTCCCAAAACGGGCTTCATGGGGATAAATCTGGCCAGAGTTCGCTGTGCAAAATAACGCACTCATGGATAAAGTGCAAGGTAAGTCAGGGTCCAGGACGAGTTGCTTACCTGACAGGCGGGTGAGGCCGGTCCCCCTGGCCCTTTGCTGTGTGTCCTTGATCTCCCCACATACCAGGTGACTGTCCTTCACCTCTATGCCTTGGTCCAGGCTGTCCCTCTGCTGACGCCCCCGTCCCTATCTTCAGATGTCTGGAAAAGCGTTCTCCTATATATCCTATCTGCTTGTTTTGTTTTTAAAAAATTATTTTATTTAACTTTATTTATTTATCTATTTTAATTTGACCAGAGAGGGACAGAAAGAGAGAGAAAGTGAGAAAGCAAGCTGTCAGGTCCAGGATTCGAACTGTGGACGGCCATGTGAGAGTCCAGTGCCCTTAATCACCATGCCACCAGCTGGCCCCAGCCCCATCTGTTTCTAACAAACTCCGTCTGCTTTAGGCCCAACGAAACTGTCTCTCCCCCAGGCCTAGAGCATCCTCGGGATCACAGCAGATGTTATAGTGGGTTGGGGGTCCACTGTTTGAACATAGGCCGTCTGGACCACTGTCGTATCGGCAGGGATACTGTGCCAAGAGAAGTTGTGACCATCTCAGACACTGGGGTGGGGCTGGCCGCATAAGTGCATGGTTAGGCTACAGGGAAACTTGCTTTGCCCTGAGTGGGGGCAACCGGGAACAAGTTTCCCTAGGGCCTATCTCCCCCACTAGGCTCTGACAACCTTCAGCGGCAAGCCTGGGGTGGCCTCCTGCTTCTGCTTAGTGACAGGGAAGTAACAGATCAGTCAGGGCCCTGAGGCCTTATCTCAGGCACCTCTTCATCCCTTCAGGCCAGGATAAGTCCCAGGCTTTTACCGTAGGTGTGGGGGCGATGTCTGCGTGTGCTTTAGGAAGTACATACACTACTAGGTCAAGGTACGATTTCTTAGAACACACACATCTTATTGCAGAAGTGACATTTCAGGAATAATAAAATCAAAAGGAAAGCAGAGTTGTTTTTGTTTGTTTGTTTGTTTGTTTGCCCCCTTTCTAAAGTTTTGCTATAGCACACATGCTCACTGGGAAGAGAGGGGGAAAGAGAAATCACCTCTAGGGGAGATGGCCATACTGAGATCCCTTCTCCTCCAGTCTCTTCTCTCGGGATTTTGGGCACAGACACACATGCTCCTGGCGTGGTTTTCAAGCCACCAGGTCCAGGTCTCTAACTGCAGTTGTTCATAGAGGAGTCTAGCGCCTTAACCACCATGCCACCTCCTGGCTCTGACCTAGAGGCTTTAAATCATACCGGGTTTGTTTGTGTGCCTGCATGCCCCAAATCCCAAAAGAAGAATGGAGGAGACAGGGTTGTGACATGGCCACCCCCAACAGTGTTCCCTCACTGCCCTGCCTTGGCTCTCTCTAGTAAGCACATGTGCCCTATGGCAAAAATGTGGTGTAATGATTATGTCACTGGACTCCTGCGACGTCGACTGCAGTTGGAGTTCTGGACCCAGCGGGGCGTGTGTGCGTGTGTGCCCACAGTCCTGAGAGGAGAATGAAGGGAGTACGGCATGGCCATCCCCCTAGGGAGTGATCTCTCACTTTCTGTCTCTGTTTCTCCAGTGAGCATGTGGGCCCTATAGCAAAAGTCTTTTTTTAAAAAAATGTACAAAATAAGCTTTTGGGGGTTTAGGGAATGCCTCCTTGACGCCATGCAGCTGGAAGGGATGTGATGAGCACAGACAGGGGATGCGCTGGCAGGTCCTGGGGGCTTCTTAAAGGAACCGACATCGGAGCTGAGTCTTGGCAAGCGGGGCGGCTGGAATTTCAACAGGTAGAAATGGGGGAGAAGGGCACTCCGGCAGAGGGCACGGTGGGAGCATGGATGCAGCGGGTCAAATATGGGAAACATCTGCGGGCTGGCCAGCAGTCCTCTTTGGCTGGCGATCCAGGTCTTTGGGGCTGGAAAGAGCGGAGGGACAGAAAGGCTGAAAAAAGACATTGGTGAGAGAATGCAAGGGTGAGCCAGGAAGGTTTAGAGCCAGGAGCAACCCTGGACAGAGCTGTGCCTGGAGGGAGGCCGTGGGGAAAAAGGACTGGGAGAGGAGGCAGGGGTGAGGAGGCTGTTGAAATAATGTGGCAGCACATGGTCAGGGCTGAAGGAGGGCAGAGGTGATGGGGTAGAGTTGAGTTGGAGAACATTTTTACCATGGGGCTATCAGGGCCTGATGAGAGGAAGAGCCTGGATAGGAAGGGAGATTTTTCTTAATTTAATAATTAGTATTATTATTTCATTTTTGCCATAGAGTGTGTGTGCTCGCTAGAGAGAGCCAGAAGGAAAGTGAGAAATCACCCCGTCCCCGGGGGAATGGCCAGGCCACAATCCCTTGTTGTCCACTCCCTTCTCCTTGGACACGTACTCGGCATGCTTCTCAGAGCCATTGGGTCCAGGACTCAGACCACTGAGCCAACCATGTGGGATTCAGTGCCTTAACCGCCTTGCCAGCTACTGGCCCCGGACAGGAAGGGACTGATGAGAACCCTCCCTTCCTGGCCAGGCCAGACTTAGCTTGCAGTTTCCTATCGTATGAAAGCCTGGGAATCACTTCACTGTACTCATCGCCCATCTGGGTGTGCGGTGGCTTCTTTCTAGGCAGAACCATTTCAGGAAAGGGCTGGGGGAGACCTTTCCTGGCATCCAGCTAGTGTTTCCCCTTCTTTTTTTTTATTGTTTATGAATGACAGTGAGGGGGGAAGGTGTGAATGGATGGCATTTCTTCAGAGATCCTTCCCTGGCCTTCAGGGAAGGTTAGGTTCGAATCAGGTTGCCTGGTTTCTCCTTGCCATTATTCCTTGCTCTTGGCACTTTCCAGTTTGTTTGTTTTTTTCTTCCAGAGAGATTTTTACTATAAGACAGATATGCTCACTGGAGACACACAGAGAGAGAGAGACAGAGAGAGAGAGAGAAATCACTCCTCAGGGAGATGGCCACACCTCAAATCCTTCTCCATTCTCCTCCCAGGATTTTGGGCATGCACACACACACACACCTGGCATGAGTTTGAAGTCACTGGTCCGGGGCCAGAACTGCCATCGTCTGTGTGGAGTCCTAGCACCTTCCAGTTTTAACCAGATACCTGGGTGACAGTCAATGCTTGTCTTTCCTCCAGGACCATAAGCCTCAGCACCCTGAATAGTACTTGGCATGGATTAGCACTTAAACACAGCAGTAACGGTCTGGGGCCGAGGGCGGCTGGGGAGTAGGTGGCCAACATTTCCTTATGTGGAAACTCTGGATCGTGGAGACAGTTGTACAACTGTTTACACTTTCTATGGCGACTCGATCCACAGAGCCGACTGCCCAGTCTGAGTCCTGGACCCAGTGGTTTGAAAAACATACCAGATGCATGTGCATGTGTGCTTACAATCCTGAGAGGAGATTGAAGGAGGGTAGTCATCCCTGGGACCTGCTTTCTCATTTTCTCTCCTACCCACCCCACCTTGCAAAAGCGCGCCACACCATATAGCCAATTAAAAAAAAAAAAAAGAGCTGGGGCCAGCAAGTGGCATGGTGGTTAAGGTGCTGGAATTCCCACGTGGCTGACCATGGTTCAAGTCCAGGACCTGGTGGCTTTCTCTCTGTCTTTCTCAGGCAAACTTATGTTAAAAAATAATAACAAATAAATAAATAAATATTTCTTTAAAAAAATATATAAATTGAGCTGTACAACGAGTGATGTTTATGATACACAAATTATACCTTAATAAAGATGTTAAAAACTAAAAATCAGCATTTGTGAAATGAATAAATTATCTGTCTCTCTCCACGGGGTTATACATTCCGAGCGAGGCGCTATATCCCCCAAATCTAAAGACTGACCAGCCCCAAGCGGCCCGGACCAAACGACTCACCTCACAGGTTCAATGAATGAAGGCGAAGGAGCCGGCTTCCTGTACGTCGGAGCGCGGCAGTTTCCGGGTTACTACTCCCACTCGGCTCCGCCCATCTCCGCCAGACGAGCCTGGCCATTGGCCCGCGGAGGCCGGCTGCGGCCCGCGGCGGGGGT